TCTTGAAAGGCCTCGTCGGCCTGAGTTCCGAGCCAAACGGAGAGCATGACGTCATTTCCCGGCCACTTCTCGGATTCCAGAGAGTACCACTGCGGAGCCAGAGGACTGTCCGGCGGTACTCTTTTCGGAACCTCCTGCAAATCAAACGACACCGTTCCTAGACAGTTCTCCGTCTTCTGATCTTCGTTCTCTTTCTTCTCCTCCGCCCAAACGGAAACTTCTAGAGAAGTGGAGTTCAAACCTTCCTTGTCGAATGCGAATACCTGATCCCAATCTTTCTCGCTCTGGCTCTTCGTTTTGATGCTGTGAGTTCCGATCACGAGCTTTGCGTAAATGGAAGATCCGCCGTCGGATGTTTCGCGTTTCGCCTTAACGACGCGTACGTAGAGGAACGGCATTCGATCGACAAGATCGTACGCGCTGCGGCTTCGATCGTTCGACAGAGAACGAAGCTCGAGATCGGAGGATCTTTTCTCCGTTTCCGATTTCTCCTTCTGCATCTGCTTCGGCTTTTTGGAATGTGCAATCGGCGGATTCTCAACTTCTACAGGTTTCTCTTGTTCAATCGCAGTGGTTTCCTCTGGTTTTGGAGTATCCGGCGGATTCTCATTGGATTTTTCCTCTGCTTTTGCATCTTCCTTTGGCTTTTCTTCTTCTTTCTTCTCCTCCTCCTTCTTGACTTCCGGCTCCTGCGCCTCCTGATTCTCTGGCGGCTTCTCCTCGGCTGCTGGAGCAGCCTCCGGCTTCTGCTCGGACTCAGGGGCGGCAGCAGGCGGATCTTCATCAACATAATAAATCTTGAGCCCTAACTCTCCTTTGATCTGAGAGAACACACTCCGTTTCTCTAAAGGATAGTAAACAAGCGATTCAGATCCAGATTTCGCAAAATTGCTTCCGGCGACCTTAACCTTACCGAGAAACGTGCTTCTCTTCCCCGCCTTCTTGTCGTTGTACAAATTGACCTCCAAGATCTCCGCTACCATGGCCTCCGTGTCGTGGACGAG